AGAGAGAGCTGTGGGCTCATCTGACTGAGGTGGAGAGGCAGATGGTGGAGATTTCTCAGAGCTCCGTGGTGGAGTTCATGACACAGGTGAACGAAGATGAGGCAGAGTATCAATACTCCAGAAACAAACACAGCCGGCAGCATCGAGGGACACGACCCTTTGAGGAGCATGAGGGGAGTGTGGGAGAGGAAGTCTTGGGAGATTTCCAGTATCAGTATCCGCAGACGCATGGGCCGGTTTACCAGCACAAAACAGAAGAGCAGGATGGAATGATGATGATGATGACATACTCCATGGTGCCAGTAAGAAACTTATACTGACATGATTGATTTATTTATGGAGATTACACAAAAGCAAACTGTGGATAAAATGTGGAAAGTGTCAACTTTAATCTCCCAGACTGCTTTCCCTATGTTGAGGGGGAAAAAATAAAATAAAAATAAAAAACACAAAGTCAAAACCTGACGATAGCTAAGTTAAGCTATAAAAAGCTATTACATACTTAATAGTAATGCATTTTTTGTAAGGTTCTTTATTTTATCTAGTTGTAACTGATAGATGGAAATGTTTTTTTTTTTTATGAAATGTTTCTTATATAGTATATACTGTAAAATTCTATTTTACATTTTATCATACACTGTAAGAAAACAAAAACGAACAAACAAACAAAAAGTCTAAGTCTAAATATCTGTAGAAATGCCTGTAAACTCAACATTATGTTATAAGTTTATAGACATTTCTAACCCTAACATATAACAGAATGAAATGCAAAATTCAGAATATGGATAAAACCTGCGAAAAATCAATATGGGGAATTCCTTTACATTAACACAGTACATTGTTTTACTTTCTAAGGGTGTAATGAAAAAATATATATTCAGATATAAGATTTATGCGCTATCAAATTATTGTATAATTATGTATAAATAATTATGTAGATAATTATTATTTTCATAAATGAAAAGTAAATGCTTTTAGCTCCTTTAAATTTGTTTTTAGTTTTGCTCCAGTAGTTACATAATTGGATTCTTCTAGAATATTCTTCAACACAGACCTGCAAAAACTTGAGTACAATATATGTTTCAGGTTAAAATTCTTCTGGACATTTGCAACAGTACTAAAGGTGTCTGTCTGACCGGTGAGTATGGGTCGTTTTTATTTTCACAACTTATTATCTCCTGAATCTGTTGTTTACAGTTTGGTTTACTTTTGGCTTTCACAGGGCCACCAGGACCACCAGGAATTCCAGGTAGGAAATGAACTATTTTAATGTTGTTTATGGGTTATATTCTACCACAGGAAAAAAAAAAAATAGATATGATGATCATAATGTAAAAAAGTGCTTTTTTTGCAGTCGTCCTTATTATAGGTGTAATTTTTCTGTGTAGTGAAATACAGTATGACAGTGCAAGAATTACAAGAAAAAACTATTTAAAATATTAGCACTTTTTACTTTAGAATTTCACGTTTAATTCAATCTGTTACTTGCCATTTCTTTGTACCTAATTGTGAAATTGTCCAAGTGAAATTTATTTCTACACCAATTTTCAGTGTAGCATTCCAAATAATGTGTTACTCACATAATCTTACTTTATGGAATTCCAGGCTTGCCGGGTGTGGACGGAATGCCGGGGTATAACGGAACAGATGGAATTCCAGGGTTGCCAGGAGAGCCTGGAGCACATGGAAAACGAGGAAAAAGAGGTCAGCTACTGTATACGCAAAAGAACATGGAAAATCCATCCATCATGCACATGAATGAATATAGTCAAAAAGGTCTTCTGAACGAAAATGTCCTCCTTTCAAACCTCTTCCTGAAAATCCGGCTGCTTTCTATAGCTTTTATCATCCACTCAAGAAAATAAGAGGGGAATTTTATCCTGCTTCAGTCACACAGCAGGATTCAGAGAGACTCCGAGATCTCCCACTGAATAAAGCAGAACTCATGATAACAGCTGACTGACTGCTCTGTTCTGAGAGCACAAGAGCCCACAGACATTCTAGAAGTGCCATTCAGCAAATCAATTATGTAGAAACTGAATGAAATTCTTTATACCGAGGTGGAGAAATTACCAGAAAACATTTGAATACATTTTATGATGATTTCATACTTTAAGTTCCACAAGCAAGTGATTATTTATTGGCAGTTTATGCTTCAAAATGCACCGTTTACCTGGCTAGGTAGATGTTACAAGCTGTTTAGAACCAACAACCACCCAGAACACCCTAGCAATCAACCACACTTGCTTTAGTTCAGAAAATGTATCGATATATTTACTTAAAATGTTTGTAACACTTTATTTTAAGGTGTAGTTACAAGTTACATATACTTACTATAGCAATAATAGTATATTATTAGTAGTAAAAGACGATGACATATTACAAATAACCAACCCTAAACCAAACCCTAATCTTAATCCTATAGTTTGTACATGGAGTTAATTAATATCTACTAAAATAAAGCATAACCGTAACATTTATTACATGACTGTAATAATTGATTCTGAATGATTTGAGAACTGTGCTGCATGAAGTCATGAATGAATGATTTTTTGTACCTGTGTGTAGGTCCTCCAGGTGAGAAGGGTGAGCCTGGTGAGAGAGGAGAGCAAGGATATCCTGGACCCCAAGGACCCCCTGGAGAACAGGGCGAACCTTCAAATGATGTCATTGTAGAGGGTAAAGACAAATTCTGTTTTTAATAGGATATGAGGATGCTGGAATATTGTCACAGCTAAAGGGTCTTGTTAAGCAAGACTATATTGACACTGCATTGTTGGATGGTGACCGTGATTTCACCAAGTACAACATGTTCCTGGATCAACATCCTTGTTGATCCTGGAACAACATTCCAATTAACCAATCAGAATTGAGGGATAACTTTTCAGGAAATGTCTGTTTTAGGCTTACGATCAGGGTTAGGTGCTTCTACACCCTTGTTAATCAGCTATCATTTCACACTGTTTTTAGGAATAAATTATGGGTAGGGTTAGGTTTAGGGGTAGGGATTGGGTTTAGTCTATATTTTTGGACAGTAATGTTGATCCAGGATCAACAAAAGATGTTGATCCAGGAACATGTCTTACTTGGCAAAATCACTGCGACCTTGTTGGATACTGCATAATAAAATAGTTGAGAACACATTTTTATTACAATGTTATTTTATGCCACTTTCCCCCCCGTGAGAAGATATAGTCCTGCCATTTATATGGATCTTGGACCTCCGTGGATCACAATAATGTTGGCATGATAAATGAGTGATGGCCATATTCCTTCTGCTTTAATCTGCAGGTCCACCTGGTCCAATGGGACCTCCTGGCCTTCCTGGTCCACCTGGCCCTCCAGGGCCCCCCGGGCCTCAAGGGCCAATAAGACACAGGAGCCACAGAGCACATCTCCACATGGGGAAGGAGTCTGTAGGTAAGTTGAATGGCTAAAATGCTAAATTTTGCATGTACATATTTCAAAATTACCTCATAATCCGTCTCATAATCAAAAACAAACAAAAGAAAACCATTTTCTTTATTCAAATTGAAAATGTATAACTGTATGTAAACTACATACAACTAACTAACTTTTTTTAAACTGTAATACATTAAAAAGTATTATTTTTATTACAGGAATGATAGCTACCATTGATAATGAGAATTACTAAACAATTAATGTACAGACACATTGCATTAGTTACAATAATATTTCCTCTTGCATAATTTTTGTCACAATTTACAAACTATTTTAATGTGATTTTCAGTAATCAGATTTCTAATTTTATTTATACTGTGTAAGTTATTTTTTCCCCTTTTGATTTTGTGGCAAATTATGACATGGACATCCAAAATTGGGTATAGTGACTTTCCCCCTGTAAGACACATCATAACATGTAATATGATATATGTAATCTACAGGTCACCTTAATTCAGTCCCAAATGATGACACCATCAGCCAGAAAATAGTATCATGGAAGATAAATGGTACCAACAAGGGCAAATTATAAGTTGTTATACATTTAACTACAGCTTTTATAAGCTTTACCTCTGACTGTGTGATTGTGTTTGGTAGACTGTGTCATAAAGTCAGTGCAGAACCCCAGACATTTGATGAAAATGAGCAGCACGTTTGGAGCATGGATGATGGACACTGCTGCTAATGACAATGAGAAGATCTGGGTGGCAGAACATTTCTCAGGTACTGAAGAGAGAACCATCATTCATCAATACAGCACATAAACCCTGTGTTTAAACTCTACTTCCATCTGCAAGTGTTAAATGTGATCAAAATGTTTAATCTTTGGTATTTGACTAAATGCTGTTATAGAACATATCTTGTATTGGACCTGGAATATTGCTTTTAGGATTTTCCCCATGTTCACAAATGTATTAGGACGTATCATAAAGGAGTACAACAGTATCGCAGCGTTCCAGAACAGCAGCAGTGAATCCATCGATGTCCGAAAATTTTTCCAAGGTTGCGGCCACACTGTACATAACGGTTCCGTATTCTACCACATCGCTGGAACTTCCAATATTGCTAAGTATGACTGAAGACAGATCTCCTTGATAATACCATAATTATAAGTCATGACATTGAGCCAAAAATGAAAATTCTGTCATCATGTGACTCCAAACATATGGAGGACTGGGAGTGCCACTTAATAAAACAAAGAAACCAATTATCAATCAATCAATCATAAATAAATAAATAACTTGTCAAATAGAAACCATTTAAAACAATTTACGGTAACACTTTATTTTAAGGTGTTCTTGTTACACCTTGTAAGCCAAACCCTAATCATATAGTAAGTACATGTAGTTAATGAATATTACTCAGTACGTAATTGTATAATTACACTGTTAACAAGGACACCTTAAAGTGTAACCCAATTTTATACATGTTTAAAATTTACTGTAGTTTACTGTAACAGTGAAATAAATGGACAGACTTTTAAAAGTTTTGGTAACAATTTTAGTGTCTTTTTTACACATTACCTGCACTTATTATTGTAATAACATTACATTATGCATAATTGCATCCAACTAAACCTAAACCAAACTCTAAGCACGTTAATTAATATTACGCAGTACTTAATTGTATAATTACACTGTAACAAGAAAACCATACAAAACACATTTGAAGCACTAATATGCATCTATCTTGGGGTAAATAAGATACAAACATTTACCTTGTATCTTCTATACCTTAGGATATAAGCCACGGCTTTATACTTTTTCTAAAATAAAGTGACCAAACTTTATGCACTTTATTTTTTTAAATATGTACTTAATTGCTTATAACTATTTATTAATTACTCATTAATTATACATTTTTAATCAATGCATTTGAAAAAAGTAAATGCAATGTAACTGTAAAATGTTAGTTACATGCAATCACAAAAGTAATATATATAACTATATATATATATTAAATGACTCAAACTACTAATTTATAAAAAAAAAAACATTGGTCTAATACTTTTCTTAGGGATAGTTCATCCTACAAAATGTACGTAATATAAAATAACGTAAAAAGTTAAAAATAAAAAGTAAAAAAAAATACTACACAAGTTTTAATCACTATTCTTATCAAATGTCCTATTACTTTTCTTAGTGATAGTTCAGCCTAAAATGTAGTTGAACAATTCACGTGTGAGCAACCAATTAACTTTTGGCTGAATCTTTGACACTCAATGGCTGCCATAGTTCTCAAATATCATTCACAATTTAATTCAAACATGGCATGTCAAGATGCCACAGTCCCCATTAAAAATGAACACATTCTGCTAAACCTCACCTTTTGTGTTCCATGGAAGAATGACTGTCACAGCTTTGAAACAACAGCAGAAAGCCTTTTAATTTATAAGAATACTTAATGTTCTTGTAACACGTGCTGTCAATTCTCCAATATTCCCAGGTTTGACCTCCAGACGAAGATCTTACTCACGCTGATAATTGAAAACGCGTTCTATCACAATAAGTCCTACCTCCTTGAGAACTCAAAGACATATTTCAAATTGGCAACAGATGAGAACGGTATGTGGATTGTATTTGCCTCCAACATTGACGACAACATAATGGTGGCGCGACTGGATGAGAAATCGTTCTCCGTCACCACATACATCAACGCCACCTATCCCAGGACCAAGGCCGGTAATGCGTTTATCGCCTGCGGGATTCTCTACATCACGGATACTAAAGACACAAAGGTGACATACGCCTTCGACCTCCTGAAAGAGAAGCCGGTGCCACTTAATAAAACAAAGAAACCAATTATCAATCAATCAATCATAAATAAATAAATAACTTGTCAAATAGAAACCATTTAAAACAATTTACGGTAACACTTTATTTTAAGGTGTTCTTGTTACACCTTGTAAGCCAAACCCTAATCATATAGTAAGTACATGTAGTTAATGAATATTACTCAGTACGTAATTGTATAATTACACTGTTAACAAGGACACCTTAAAGTGTAACCCAATTTTATACATGTTTAAAATTTACTGTAGTTTACTGTAACAGTGAAATAAATGGACAGACTTTTAAAAGTTTTGGTAACAATTTTAGTGTCTTTTTTACACATTACCTGCACTTATTATTGTAATAACATTACATTATGCATAATTGCATCCAACTAAACCTAAACCAAACTCTAAGCACGTTAATTAATATTACGCAGTACTTAATTGTATAATTACACTGTAACAAGAAAACCATACAAAACACATTTGAAGCACTAATATGCATCTATCTTGGGGTAAATAAGATACAAACATTTACCTTGTATCTTCTATACCTTAGGATATAAGCCACGGCTTTATACTTTTTCTAAAATAAAGTGTGACCAAACTTTATGCACTTTATTTTTTTAAATATGTACTTAATTGCTTATAACTATTTATTAATTACTCATTAATTATACATTTTTAATCAATGCATTTGAAAAAAGTAAATGCAATGTAACTGTAAAATGTTAGTTACATGCAATCACAAAAGTAATATATATAACTATATATATATATTAAATGACTCAAACTACTAATTTATAAAAAAAAAAACATTGGTCTAATACTTTTCTTAGGGATAGTTCATCCTACAAAATGTACGTAATATAAAATAACGTAAAAAGTTAAAAATAAAAAGTAAAAAAAAATACTACACAAGTTTTAATCACTATTCTTATCGTCTTACTCATTACTTACACATTACTGGATGAGAAATCGTTCTCCGTCACCACATACATCAACGCCACCTATCCCAGGACCAAGGCCGGTAATGCGTTTATCGCCTGCGGGATTCTCTACATCACGGATACTAAAGACACAAAGGTGACATACGCCTTCGACCTCCTGAAAGAGAAGCCGGTTAGTGTCAGTTTAGATCTGAGGGCACCTGGAGGGGTTCTGTCCATGATCTCATACAATCCCAGAGACAAACATCTCTACATATGGGACAGCAGCTACGTCAAATCATACGAAGTCCAGTTCCTCTCAGATGAATAATCAAAAATGCATAACATAATTGGCATATTTATAAGCAAATAACCAATGTTTCTGTTGTTACCCATGTGTAGTACCCCATATATATTTTTTTTATTTTCTTGAGTGGATGATATATCAAGCGCTAAATTGTCTATCTAGTGGTGTTCGCACTAAGTATTTGGACACTTTAGCTACCCTTAAATTTCAATGTGTTAGATATCAAAACATAAAACCAAGTGTCGTCGAACATCAAACAAACAGGGCTTTTAATCAACTGATTTTTTTTTGTAGTTTTATTAAATCAGTTCTCTTCAAGTTTACACATTTTAATCATTTAAAATGTGTGAACTTGAAGACAAGACATTTTCAATTCTGGCTATTCAATCGATTATCAATTATTTAATCATTTAAAATCAGAATTGAAAATATAGTGACTTGTCCAATATAAACTTGAAAAAAAAAAAAAACGGTATAAATCCTGCACACTACTCAAACTTGTGCAAATTACAAAATTTTACTACTAAGGTTTCAAGCCTGAGAAGGGTCAATTGACTGGAACAATGCTAATAAAATTTTGCAGATACACGTTTGAGTTTAGCGCAGGATTTCAGTTTATCATTTAAAGCCTAACAAACATCTTTGTAAAATGTTTAGGTTGAAAATTTAATTTGCACTTGGTTTTATTTTTTTTTCTAATGTAATGACATTAAGGAATTTTAAAATCTGACTTAAGTGTCTAAATGCAATTTGGGGCTACCGTATTTATTTATTTTTTTGGCATTTTTACTTTTATATGTTGCATTTTCCTTTTTTGGCTAACATGCATTTTAAGTGAATATTTATTAATTCATGCAGCATGATCAGTTTTTGCGCAAATTGTTCATAAAACCATTGTTATTGTTTACATAGAAATGGTTTTACTAAGTTTACACAAATTCATTCTCTTCTTGTTTCATGAATGAGGCCAAATGTGTGTAAATAAATAAATGGGATATGTATGTGCATTACATACATAGTAATTTCGTACACTATTTAATTTCACAGCATCACTTCAGTAAGACTTTTCCAGGTAACGTCACTCATAAACTCTACATGGTAAGATTAGGTATGTGCATTAAGTACAGGTGAATTTTGATTTTAATGTTGACTTCATGTTTATAGAAATGTATTTGACTGCTAGTATGTATACGACACAAAATATATTTGCCAAATATTGTTTAATTTATATTGCATGCATGTTTATGTAGCCACAAATGCTTGGAAATCCTGAAATAAACCCTGAAACATGTTAATCTAAAGACACGTGGAGTTGAAACAGTAAAATGAAATGACTTAATTCAAATCAAAAGAATTTATTCAACTTACAAAGGTAAAACTTTGACCATGACAGAACTACCTGTTCCTTCGGAAATACCAACCAGTGTTTTTGGGGTTTGCATTTTCACACACGCAGACAGATCAGGCTGTTCAATAAATACACATCAGACCATCGGTTTAACATTTAAAATACGTACAATTGACATGGTGCCCAGCAAATCAGACAGAAACACAAATATGATTTTAATAAACACCACATACATCAAACCAAATATACGACTATTCCAGCAGTTATGATAAAATCAAAAAATAAACTAAAAGCGTTACTGTGTTTGTACAAGCTATTGTCGTAAATAATTTTTATATTT